TGGCTATGGGGGCCAGACGAAGCCCATCTTCCGTAAGAAGGTAAGTGCTGTTTCTGGAGGGAGGACCTGAAACTTCCATGCAATCCACATGCCCAGTTGGAAGAGGGAGCTTCAGCCTCCTGCAGCCTTGTGCTGGTCCTGTGCTCAAGCCGTGTCATGGTGGCTCTGCTGGTCGTGGTGTCCGGGGAGTGTAAATTCCCCATCCCCATCTTCCCTGCTGCTCCCGTTTTGTGTGATGCTCCTTTTGTTTTCAGGAGTGATGATGTATCATGTGTTAGCAGAGCAGGTTGTGCAGGGAGGTTGATGGCAGAGGGGAGCAGGGTCTTACTGGGAGTGATGCTTTTGATGAAAGGAGTGTTTTCTTCGTTGGTTGCCAGTACAGTGAGGGGAAAGGGAGGCTGCTGCTTGTTCTCCTTAAGGTCTTGAAGTGATTGAAACTTTGCTGGGTTTGTGAGGCTCTGCACGGTGAGGCTGCTGTCAGTGCAGGGGCACAGTAGAAACAAAGCACGTGCAACTGCTGGGGCACTGCAGGACACAACACGGTTTCCTTGCAGTCTGCTGCCTCCAGGGAAATCCGTATTGCTGAGCCAGGACATGAGAGCTGCTGCATTAGGCCTTTCCTGGGAGCCTCAGAGCAGCAGTGCATTCTGTTGCAGGTGAGCTGCAGAGACGTGCTGCTGTCATCCTCTGTCCTCGGCAGTGTGTGGATACCTGGGGCTGCAGTCGTGCATGTTTTCCCCCTATGCCTCTCTCTACCTCCTGCCAGGGAGTTGCAGGGGGACAAAATCTGTGGTGTTTGCAGCAGGGAAGCAGAACCCAATGGCTGATTTGCTACAGTTTTTGTATGAACTGTTTGGTTACTTATTAAAGTGCTTGGCTTGTTGCTGGAAAGCCCTGGAGGAGTGCTGCAGATGTTCAGGAAGTCTTCCAGCAAGAAGAAAATGAGACAACAGTTCTTCAAGTTGATTTTTCTGCCAGGAACTGGGGAGCCCTTGCAGAAAATGCGGCTGCAGCAGGGTACACGGAGCAGCTGTTCTGCTCTCACAGTCTGGCACTCTCCTGCTGTACCCTGCCATCCCCATTCCCGTTTCTTGCTAGTCAGCGTTATATGGATTGGGTGAAGCTGATAACTGGTGGTTACAGCTGTGTGCAGCTGCTGCAGCAGCTTTGGGTCCTTCCCTCTGTACTCTTGGGTTTCATCTGACTTGTCAGTAGCTGTGGGTCAGCACTGAGCATATTATGTTCTGGGCCAAGTTTGTGCTGCTTCCATGTGTGTCTCTGCCTGGGATTCTGCGGAATTCCCTGAGCACTGTCAGTCTGTTCTTCCACACTGCAAAGTGCCTGTTCCTCGTGTGTTCACTGGCACAGGCTTGCAGCGTGGCTGAGCTCTACAGGGGCCAGCCCTGCCCCGCTGAACCAGTGTCCTTTACTGTGGAGGTAGAGATCCACTGTACTCCTGTACTGGTCCTTAGGGTGCTGCCTGTTTTCAATGGAGGGAGCCTAGCTCTGTTGGTAGTCTTTTATCTATACTGAGACCAAGCTGCTGAATCTTCAGGAGTGCAGGTAACGTGCTTTTCCTGACAGCAGCAGTTTGTTTGCTTGTGAACATTTTGTGCATTGGTGCACTCTGCTCTTCTCACAGGCTAAGACTACAAAGAAGATTGTGCTGAGGCTGGAGTGTGTGGAGCCCAACTGCAGGTCCAAGAGGATGCTGGCGATTAAGAGGTGCAAGCACTTTGAGCTGGGAGGAGACAAGAAGAGAAAGGTAGGTTTGTGCACCACAAGAGGCTAAGAGGGTGGCAGCATTTAGGCAGTGAATAAACTTGCTCTGTCTCTTCTTCCTTACAGGGCCAGGTGATCCAGTTCTAAGCTGCTCATTGTTATGGACCATATTAAAGTATTTGGAAGTGATCTGTTGTTTGGTTTTTGTATCTTCCTTTGGTGGTAGGGTTGTATTCACAACTACATCAGCCCAGCAGGAAGGTACTGCTTGCAGAGCTGCTTAGTAAGTGAACAGTTGTCATCCAAAAGCCCTGCCAATGGCTGGCATCGCCTGTCTTCATAAGAGCTGTTCTAGAATATATGAAGCTCTGATGGATTTTGCACCAGTGGCTTCTCAGTGTAACTTCTGCCTGTGACAGGGACTGAATGGCTGCATTGTGTCAGCTTTACTGAGTGCTCTTTGTAGTAAATCATTACAAGAACTTAGTGACTGGAACAACTGTCCTGTCACCTAAAACCTGTTTCAATTTCAGATACTGAGCTGTACTCCTGTATAGTGGAACTAAGAAAAAGCTTGGCCTTTTAAAGGGATGTTTTAATCAAAGTGCTTAATCACAGAAGTAAGAACAAATCAATATACCCTGATTGTGCAGTAAGTCAGAAGAGAACATACTTGTACATGATAGTTGCATAAGTGATTAAGTACCCATCTCCTGTCTCTGAGGGACCTGTGCTATTCCAGCTAAAGGTTACTGTAGCAGTGGTAAGCAAGCACACAGGTACTTCTGGGAGGCAGCTCACATGATAGGATCTCAGATGCATCGTGAGAGAGCTGTCATCTAAAGGGAAATGTCCACCACTTCCCTTTAAAAGAGGGAGAGTCCTGGGGTAAGGAGAAACTCAACAGCCGAATCCCAAGACATGATACTCACATACTCGCATTTATACTAAAGCAGGCAGCTGTTAAGAAAGCAGTTGCTAAGAAGTGCAGTGATTTAGGCCAGTCCCTGAGTGGTCAGGTGGAAGTAGCTGTCCATACTCTGAGGAGTGTTGGGTGTCTTGTTCCTTGACTGTGTGCCCCAGCCTGGCAAAGCAAGAGCAAGGCAGCCAGGCTGTTTCCCTGTTGTCCCTGAAATGCTCAAGGAGAGCTGTAAGATGCTGCACACGTCCTTTGCATTTCCTTGGTACTGGCAGAGGGTATGAACAGGAGCTGCTGCCCAGCTGCAGTCCTTAGAGCCCTCTGGAAAAGGAGTGAGGTGAGATGCCAGAGAAAGGGTAAAGGAGAAGCAGCACCCCTTTTTCCGTTACCTCTTGGTGATGGAGCGATGGGTATTTGTCACCTTAGGCTGAAGGTTCAAGGTCCACATCGAAGCACTTGAGTAGCACATGCCTGAGGAGAAAACAGGTACCCACCCCACCTCCTCTGACAAGAAGTTTAGAAAGAGCCTGATCCTTACAAGGAGATTGTCTCTGTGCCTCCTATAGTGCCACTACTTTGAGCAGCACGGTGCCTGTTGGGTTGACCTCCACGCTCAGGGAGGACACCCAGCTGTACACCCCGCAGTCCCTGCTGGCTGGCAGGACCTGCCACACGGAGCATGCAGGGTTGCAGGCCAGCCCATTGCCGAGGAAGGTGAGGGGGAAGGTGAAGTTTCGGGGTCCCCCAATCTCCTGCTGGTTCAGCACTGCCACGGCATAGGCTGGGCCAGACAGGGGCCGCTCCCACAGCTCAAAGTTCTTGTCCTGCCAAGGAGAAGACAAACATGTTTGGGGAGACAGAACTGATGGTCTTTGTGCCTGTCTGTTTAAGGAGGCTTCAGGAACAAATGGACTCATTTGGCTCCTGTTCCCAAACCTGGAGCACCCCCCTATAACCCCGTGTCCCCTTTCTGAGGAGGCCGCTGCCTGCTGTACCTTGATGACCTGGTATCCCTGCTTGCCCAGCGGGTCCTGGTTGATGGCGATCACCTCTTTGTTCTGGAGCAGCCACTTGGCCTCAGGACTAATGTGCCGCAGGTCGTTGGACATGAAGAGGGGAGCTGCCATGATAGCCCACATTGCCATCTGAGTCACTGCCTGCTCCCAGCTCAGCCCAAAGTTTCCAATCACCAGCTGTGACAAGAAAACAAAAGCACTTGGTAACGCTGCCTGACAAGCAGAAACTGGGCCACCAGCATAAGCACTGGTAAATGGCCGGATGCTGAGGGTGGGACCCCTGTTTGGGAACTGGTTAGATAGTCTGAGCGCCTGGAGCAGGTTGGGAAAGGTAAGGCATGACTAGTGGGGCAATTCAGGATGAACCACTGGTACAGGCAAAGAAGGATCCTCAACTGCCTAGGCAGCATTTCAAAATCTGCTTCTGGATGCAGCTATTCCTTCCTTGCAATGCTGGCACCCAGGGGATTCCCTCTAGTGGGAGATGAGCACTTCATAGTCTGTCTCCCACTGCCACACTGCTTGCTGAGGCTGCATTATGGAGACAGCACTTCCTTGGTACTGTCTGTAGCTGTAGTTCTCTTCCCTTTTTCAGCCACGGATGCTCTCATCAAGCTCCTGATCCTGGAGCCCTGTCAGAACCCTTCTCCTCAATGTCTCTCTCTTCCCATCCTTCTCAGCCTACACCCGATGAGAGGATTTTTTGCTGGTGCTACAAGGGAGCTGGGCACTGCTCTACTTGCCATGTCAGGATCATTCCAGCCCCCTGGCCCAGCTATCTTCACGATGCTGTCCTGGTGAAGTGCTGTCCAGTCCAAGATACTTTTGATGCTGCTCCAGGAATCATAGACATCAAAAAAGTTCCTCCAGTGATTGCAGTACTGTTTGATCTCTGTGTAATTGGGCTGCCAAAAAAATGAGTGTGATTAGCCACAGAGCCTGACAGTGCAAGAACAAGATCATACACAAGGCTAGACTGGATCCAGTTCCCTAGGATGCCTTACGCCCAGTAATTCCAGGCTGCCATGCTCCAGACAACACTATTGCCTCCCTTGGGAGAAGGGCTGTGGCCATCCAGCTCTGTTAGAAAATTCCTTCGAGCACTATTTTACTGAAGGTGTGATGAGGCCAGTGGGATTAACTGTGCCATCCAGTAATTACTGCCATTTCTTGCGTTTACACCCTCTGGTGACTAATGCATTAATTAGGAGGGAATGGCACCATCCTGTCACGGTGGCACAGGGGAAGCCAGCTATGGGTGGAGAGTGTCATCGACCCTGGCTGGCACAAATCTGCTGGCAAACAGGAATGTGGAGAATTCCTGTTGAATAGGCTGTCCTAAAGTCTTCTCCCTGGTCCCCAGAGGTGACTGTAAGGATGAGTATGCAGCACTCTGCATTCAGGAGGAATAACACCAAACTATGTGCTAGCTGTGTGTCTGCATTTGCCCATGTTTTGTTGCTTGGCTCCTTGGAGGCAAAGCAGATGGATGCTGCTGTGCTCTCTGGCACGCTCCACTTGGGCTGTGCCTTCATGCTGCAGGATCCTACCGAATTCAGCAGAGTAATGACTTGCCTCAGGTATGCTTCAGGACTCTAGAGGAAAATGTTGTTTTCCTACATCTTACAGTCTTGTTCTCTGTCAGATGAGCAACAAGTTTCTCAGGAGGCTGTTTTGGAGTCTTAATGCTTAATTTCTTCGAGGATAAGTCTTGAGAAACACTCCTTACCTGCTGCATGGGCCTCAGGTAGAAAGGCCACTCACAGGAGTACACAATGCTCCTTCCAGTCCTGTTCAGGGCCAGAGACATGCGCCTGTAACCTAAAGGAAGAGGACAGACAGAGGTTACACAATCTCCTTGGTCAGACAGAGGAACTTAATCTAACGTTACAGGTTCAGGTTTCAGTTCAACTCTTGCTAAATCAAGGCTGAACACATCACTGCAGCAGGAACACCCCAGGGAGGACAGGGGAGCTTATAGTCTGCAGCCAGTCTCCAGCCTCCCAAGGACAGGTGAGCTCCTTCACAGCTTTGCTACAGGTCATGGGCAGGCTTATTGCTCCCACACTGCTGACCTCTTTGTACATCCAGCCCTGGGAAAAGGCTGGGGTTTTGCTGTATGCCTTTTTTAACTCTAGATACCTGGGAAATACAAGTTGGTGTCTATCAAGCTGCTGGGTACAGCGTCACTGGGTAATGTTGCAGGAGTATGTTCCTATGAGGCATTTGCACCATATGGACTGGAGAAGGAATGCAATAACACTTGTTTTTCCTGTCTTTGTCCCCAGACAGCCCTGTTAAGTCCTTTTTAATCAGCAGAGAGGGAATGAAAAGTTTGCTCTCTCCCCTAGAAGTGCTTCTATACAACTGGACTGTAACTTGGTTTCATGTGATCCAACAAGAGCTTTGAGCTCCGCTATCACGGTGCTCAACTGTGCTCCTGGCTGCAGCAGCTGGCATATGCCCCACCAACTGGTTCCTATGGGATTGTTACTTGGGCAGGTTCTCCCTGCCAGGCAGAGCGTGCAGGATTCCTGCGGCCAAACACTGTGGTGCTGACTGTGACAGCAGTGAGAGCTGGGCTGAAAGAAAAACACCTTCTGAGTTGCACCACTCTTCCCACAAATCTGCTCCTGTGGCACCAGGATTTGCTTGTGCTTGCAGGAAGTCCGCACCAAGCCACCTCAGCACAGTGAGCTACGGAGCTTTCCGCTGCTGACTTGCCAGCCTGTGTGCAAATAACTTCTGCACTAGGATTCACGCTGCCAGGCTTTAAAATCAAAACTCTGTCAGCAACTTAATGCCAGAATTCCCTTTATTTTTTTCTTTTTCTCCTGTTAAAAACCCTGATATCTGCCCTCTTTATGGCCTACACAAGCTGTTCTTGCTTCAAGCTGTTCTGCACTGGCATGGCCTCGCCAAAGGGATTAAGGGTCAAGTGTGTGGAACATTTTGAGCTTTCCAGTAAAAGCACTGCAAAAGGGCAAAGCCTCTGCTGTGTTTAGAGCTGAGGCAGCAGTCTGCACAGAGAGCCCCCAGGAGGGTGAGCAGGTGAAAAACACCAGTGCCAGCAATACTCACTACCTTGGGAACAAACTCTCATACCTGCTTCTGTAAGCAAATTCCTCAAATGAGTATGCTCAGGGAAAAGCAACTCCCTGGAGCCCACCTTGCGCCTGGAATTGCTGCTGCCTGCAGAATATTCCCACCCCGTGGCGCAGTGCAGCCTTGAGCCCGTGCCTACCTTCTGCCAGCAGCTCCAGCGTGCCAGCGTTGCAGCCGTCAAACTTCAGCAGGTCCACGCCCCAGGAGGCAAAAGTTTGGGCATCCAGGTCATAGTGGTTGTAGCTGCCAGGGAAGCCAGCACACGTCTTGTTCCCGACATCGCTGTAGATTCCCAGCTTGAGACCCTTGGAGTGGACCTGGACAGAAAGAGAACTGGGGATGGGGCAGCCGTGAGGCAGGAGGGAGCAAAGCTGGGCCAGCAAGGGCAGCAAACCCCCACTCTG